TGATGTGTGTGGGGTTGAGCCTGCCTGGTCACACCTGTCCCGCAGCCCCGCCTGCAGGCAGAAAGTGCTTGCTAAAGGCTGTTGATAGAAGGAATAGTGTGAGCCCTCCTCCCTCTGAGCAGCCCCATGCTGGCTCCACCCCTTCCCCTGCCCTGAGCACTGAGGGGCGGGGTGCTGATGGGTTAAAAGGTGGCAGCTGGGGGTCCCTCTTGGCTGTTCCTGCTTCAGCATGGCTACCAGCAGCCTTGTAAGCCCACCTGCCTGCCCCTCCTGCAGCCTGGGCAGCCAGGGCCCGAATGCACAGCCCACCCCGACTCCTTTCTATGTCAGGTCAGAGAGGCCGAGGGTGAGATCCTAACGTGGGAGAAGGAGGGAAAAAAGCAAGAGGAAGGGGAGGAGGCAGCAGCAGCAGCGGGAGCATCAATGAGAGAGGAGGCTCCAAACTCTCCCTCAACTCTGCTGCCCCTGAGGGGGAAGGCCTGCAGTGAGGGCCCAAGGGAGGCCAAGCTGGAATTGCACCTTCTGCAGAACAGGTAGGGCAGGCTCCTGCTCTGCGGCCTTGGGCAGCCCCGTCCTCTGTCGAGGGGAAGGCCAGAGCTGGCCTAAGACTTGGGCCCTGTGTTCCTTCCAGCCTCAACCCCACTGGGATTCTGGGTTAAGTGCCTCCACTTCTCCTCTGCCCCTCTGCCCCACCAGGGTAACTGACTCCAGTCATCTTGGGGGGTCTGTACCCCAAATATTGTCCTCCAGTTTGTCCTGGAAAGGGTGAGACTTCCCTGCCACCCCAGGTGCTGCTGGGGGTGGGCACAAGGGCTCTCTGCTTCCAGGTGGGCCCTGTGGTTCTTCAAGAATGACCGCAGCCGGGCCTGGCAGGATAACCTGCAACTGGTCACCAAGTTTGACACAGTGGAGGACTTCTGGGCGTGAGTGTCTGCCTGCCCTTCATGGAAGGGGCTGGGGCCCGGGGACTCAGCGCAGGATCCTTCCCAGACCCCCACCCTCTGGGGGCTGCTTTCCACACAGCTCTCCCAGTCCTCCCTGGGGCCTGGCAGCCTGTGTGAGGGCTGGGGCTCAGTGGATTCTTCGGGGGGCCCAGGCCGGGGGAAAACCTTCTTGGGGCTCAGGGAGAAAGCCTGCGAAGTGGGAGAAAGCGAGGAGCCGACCCTGACTCTGCTGCTTCATGATTTGTGACGCTGGGCAAGTTCCGTCCCCTCTCTGAGCTTGTCTCGACCACAAAGCGAGAATTAGGCTGCTTCAGTGTCTATGGAGAATCAAGTGAGGGACCGGGAAGGAGCTGTTATAACCCTAGGGCTGGGGGAGAAGGCCTGGGCTCCAGCCGGAGGGGCACCGGAAACAAGCCCGCACTGGGCGTGGGTGCACTGGGCGTGGGTGGCGGTGGGGGCTCCAGGGAGGACGTGGGACTTGAAGGTTGGGGTAAGGATGGAATTCCAGGCCGGAGCGCCAGTGTGAGCAAAGGCTTGGAGGCTGGAAGGCTGGTGGAAAGCAGTGTGGGGTCTGGTAAGAAGTTGAGGGGCTGAGGTCAGTCGGAGCCAGGCCCTAAAAAGCCCGACTCTCAGCCTGGCGTCGGGGACTCTCCTAGGATTTACAGTCACATCCAGCTGGCCAGTAAGCTCTCTTCAGGCTGTGACTATGCCCTGTTCAAGGTAAGCCCTGCTTCCCCGCCCCCAGGCTGGGCGCAGATTCTCCCCAGCACTGCTCCCTCACAGGGGGTGTGGGGGTGGAGTCTGAGGACAGCCTCCCTCAGAGCCAGGAGGAGGGAATGCTGTAGCGGAGCCTGGACAAAGTGTCAGACCTGCGCTGCACCTTGAGAAGGAGCCCAGGTTTCTGGCCTGGTCCCGTAACTAGGAATAGGCATCAGAGTTGGTCATGGGCACTGCTCACCAAGGTCCAGGCCAATCCCTGGAGCTGCCGACCAGCTGATGTGTGCGGTGCGACCCTGGCGTCAGTGTTTAAAGATTTCCCAGGTGACTTTGTGCCCAGCTGAGCTTGGGATGTCTGGCATGGCCCACACGGGGGTTGCCCCAGAGGCTTTGTGAATTACTCCCACTTGAACTGTCTTCAGGAGCTCTGTTCAGTCAAGGAGACAGGCACACACACGGGCGAGGCTGTGAAAGATGACACATGTTAGGGCTCTGGAGCCTGGCGGAGCTCAGAGGAGGCTCTGGGGGTTGAATGGCTGGTGGTGGCACTTGCTTGTACAAAGGGAATGGAGGCATGACCGAAACTAGCTTGTGGTGATCTCCTGCGGGGCAGGAGCAGGACCGGAGGAGGTGGCCGGGCCCCCACTTCCCTTTGAACAAAGGGAAGCAGTTGATTTGCCATCTGGCCTCCCAGGATGGCATCGAGCCCATGTGGGAAGACGCCAGGAATAAGCGGGGTGGCCGCTGGCTGGTCAGCCTTGCCAAACAGCAGCGCCACACTGAGCTGGACCGCCTGTGGCTGGAGACAGTGAGTGGAGGGGCCGGTAGGAAGGGTCCCCCAAAGGAGGGGGCAGGGCCGGTATGGTACCCGTGGTGGCAGTGGTCTCCAGGATGGCGGGTGGAGGCCTCGTCACCTCCCTTTTGGGCCCCAGCTGCTGTGCCTCATTGGGGAGAGCTTTGAAGAGTACAGCCAGGAGGTGTGTGGGGCCGTCATCAACATCCGAACCAAGGGGGACAAGATCGCAGTGTGGACGCGGGAGGCAGAGAACCAGACGGGCGTGCTCTACATCGGGTGAGGGTGTCTGGCATGGGGTGGGGGCTGGGCCTCGTCTAGGGGAGAAAGTGAAATGGGGGGTGGGGGCTTGGCCTACAAGGAGGACCTCTGGAACTCTCCCTGCCTTTTACCCCTTCTGCCTTCCTCACATGTATGAAGGGTTTGGGAACCTAGATTTCAAACGATTTCTAGCAGAACGCTTCTTTTGCATTAGTCTTATTTTGGGTTTCCATACGACTAAAACACACAGAATTGGAGTGTCTGTGGCTGGCACCAGGGTAGGAGCTCTGGGCAGAGGACCAGGTTACCTCCAGGGCTGCTGCTGACTGCCTGTCTCATTTCCTCTCCCACTTACCCCCTATTCCCATCCCAGGCGGGTCTACAAAGAGCGCTTGGGACTCTCGACGAAGACCATCATTGGGTACCAGGCCCATACAGACACAGCTACTAAGAGCAACAACCTGGCCAAGAACAAGTTTGTGGTGTGAGAGGGCCTGGACACCCCTCTCCATCCAGCCACCCCTGAGCCCCTCACTATTGTTGTATATGTGTCCCGGCAGGACTGGGGGCGAAGGCGGAGGGCTGGTTCTCACCTGTTTGGGAGTTAATACGAACATTCTTTAATATGAGTTGGGACCCAGGCCTAGGGGCTGCTCTGTGGGTGGTGTGGTGGAGGGCGGGCTGAGACCCAGGGCAGTGTCACCCAGAGGTGGGGTGGGGTGAGCCACGGGGGAAGGTGGAAAGACAACAGGAATAGTCTATAATCCAGTACTGACTCTGTGCCTACCAGGAAAGGGGGCTAGCTAAGCTTGAGGACCAACCCTTCTGTTCTAGGGGAGGGGGCTCAAGCCTCCTGCCACTCTGAGAGCTAGCATTCCTGGGCCTCGCCTGCTGGTGGTGATCGCTGTGCTGGAAAACCGTTGTGGATTTCCTATCAGATTTGTAGGCTTGGAGCCCACCCTGGAACCCCTTCCTTCTTTGGAGTAGGGCTGTGCCCTCACTCCAGAGGCTGGAGGCCTAGAGGCAGAACCCCATCATCTCACAGGGAGCTGAGGAGGGGTCAGGCTGGGAGGAGGGGGACAGGCTGGGTGCTCCTCCCCCTTGCCGGTGGCTGGGCGGGTTGGGCCTTCCCTGGCTCAGGGCGGAGCTTAAATGAAGCGGAGGAGGCGGCTTGGCTGTGAGACCTCACCCGGGTCTGCTACTCCAGGTGGATAAACTTGGTGGAGCTCAAGCTCCTTTCTGTTCCTGTTCTAAATAAATACCCCGCTTTGCGCAAAACTGGAATGATTTTTAGCGGAGGGCTCTAACATTATGATTCAGTTCCTCCAAAACCTCGATCTGCTCCTGTCCTCCCGGGAAGGCGCTCGTGTGAGACTAACCAGGGAGCCCAATCAGGCCCACGCTGGGATGGGAAGAGGGATAAGACTGGGGTTCCAAGCACCAAAAGGGTTTGAGCCAGGGGGTGGGGTGTGTGCCCCAGAAAAACTGAAGGGGCAGCGACCAGCCGACTCACCATTCCCAGGGCCCGGGTGTGGTGTAGCCGCGCGAGCCGGGGCGGCAGGGCTACATTTCTGGCGAGCGAACCGCGTGTCAGATTGGACTCCTGGGCGAAAACGTCCTGCACGTGCTTCCAGAACCCCAGCCGAGCCTCCATCGCCAGCTGCTCACCAGCGCAGTAATTACTTCTCCAAGATGAGCTCCCACAGCAAGGCCGGGGATTGGGGCGCGCGGGCACTGGCCCTGCGGGGTGGGGGTGACTGTGGGTCCTGCATGCCCGCGGTTGGTGCTGCCATCATCGAGCATCTCACGGGGTG